TTAATGATATATTTGAAAGTATCCAATTGACCTATTGAATTTGAAACTGTATGAAATTTAATTCAAATTTTATACTAAATATTATTTTCAAGACACGAAGATAGTCAAATACAATTTTATTTATTTATTTTCTTGTATTTTTTTTTTTCATTTGGTGTCAGATGCCGATTATCGGTCGGTGCTAAAACAATATGAGGTATCATAACTTAATATAAAAAAATTACTTTCATACTGTTCGGTTACACAAGTGTTAATAAGAGCTTAAGGTCTATTTTGAGGAGTTTATACAAATCAGTTGTTGTAAGAAACAACAAACAATATATGCTTCTCTTCATACAACTTGAGCAAACGTGGTGACCTATAAAATTTTGTTTCAAAAGCCTCCCATTATTCGTTTTCTTATTTTTATATAGGATTTTTTTTTTTTTTCACATCATAATTTTGTTGTGGAGTTCTCTTGTAACAAAAGAACAATGGTTTTTGAATTATATAAATAAATAATTAAGGTTTTAAGTTTGAAAGAGACAAATTATGTAGGGTTTTATACAAGTTTTTTTCCCCTATATAATTAAAAAAATAAAAATTCTTGTCACTCCTTCGTTAGAATAGTACAATTCCTATATTTTTTTTAATATTAGAAGTGTGATTCAAAAATTAGACTTAAAAGACTTACCTTCCAAATCTCTGTCAACACCATTATACCTCTAAAAACACATACACACACATATAAAGCCCGCATAAGAAGTTTTTCATTCAACTTAATGAAAAAAAAACAAAAACAATTCGTTTGACAATTAAAGATTTGCTTCACCCACCATTAAAGATTAGAAAGAGGCAAAAGGAACCACCACCACCATAAATTTATGGACGACTATTAAGAAGGTCCAAATGCCCAATACAAGTCATTATCAATTATCTTGGGACAAAAAAAACACGGCATAAGATAATGGAGTTTTGTTTGAGATAAAAAGGGAAAATCAGATGATGTAAAGTGTACTGGCTTTATATACATTGTCAATTTTGAGTCCTCCTAAGTTCCCACTCTGAGTAGAGGCATGATGGAGTTGTCATTATACAATTTTGGAACAAAGTAATATTCCCACTCTAAGTAGAGGCATGATCCAGTTGTCATTATACAATTTTGGAATCAAGTATTCGCCCACCGAGATCACATAAAAAGAAAGTGACACTGTGCTCACTTACTGCAGTTTAGTCAAAGGCTATCACTTTGTAAGGATATAAATTTTTTTCCCCATTTTCTCTTTCGCATTGTGTATATGTTGGTATATTTTGCATCATCAAAACATCACCATAATTCAAAAAATATATGAATATGATCACATTTATGACAGTTTTTGTCTATAATCACAATCGTCTTATCATGAACTCGATCAGCTCTCACTCCTCCATCGACACCCTTATTGTCAACTTACAGTTTCAAACTTTTAGATCGGTAATACATTCTCGTAAACTCTCAATTCATGAAGGTGTGGTAAATTCGTGAATCTAATTCAATTCAATTCGCTCCGTGCTGATCAGATTAATTTTTTAATCTCACTATTCGTTGACAGATTGATAAACTAATAATTTGTAGTGACCAAATCGATTAACAGATTAGGGTCTGAAAAAATGATCTGTTAACCAATTAGATCCGATCCACTCAAATTTATAAAAATAAAAATTTATATATATATATATATATATATATATATATAGTGTAATATATATACATTATTTTAGTAATTTAGTATATGATCTAAGGTAAGCACTGTCCTTATACGATCTAAGGACATTGTCCTTTCTTTTATTATTTATTCAGGGTTAAGTGTAAAAACTCCCTTCTACTGTTGATATAGTGCAAAATTATTCTTATGTAGTGTAAAACACGTGCCCCTATACTATTGATTTGGTGCAAATAGCTCTCTGGAGGCTTAAAATGACGATAATACCCTCATTTTAGTAGAATAAATTAGTAAGTATAAATACTGACCATGTAAAATGACTATTTTATCAAATTTGTGTAGGATGTTGTTTGTTTGAGACAAGAATAAAATAATGCTTGATTTTGGTAAAAAATTCAATTGAATTTTAGTAAAATTTTCATTGCAAAATGCATGATAAGAAAAACATTAAACATACGAAATCTGATGCACCAATATTATAACAAAGAGTGGTTAAAAAAAATACTATAACAAAGGGACAAAGTCGACCCATACTTGGTGGGAAAAGTACTTATTTTTATATTCCTTAACAAATATTATTAGTAGTATAATTTTCTTTTGTCATTGTAAAGGTTGGACCATATATACCTTTATCATATCATCATTCATGTCAAGTATGAGTTAATCAGATTTTCTCTTTGAAATTATACACCAAATCAAAATGTAATATTAATTGATGAGATAGTTCAAAATTTTCAATTATCTTAATCTTTGACATACATAATATTATGTGAAGGGCATTTTTTTTGGAATGGTTAGAAGGGCATATTGTTATCCAATACCATGCATAAATTTCCTAATTACCTTAAAAAAAAATTGAGCACTTTAAATTTTTGGTAAGTAATAAAAAGAGAATTTCAAGAGAAAATTATTTTCCATAACCATCTAACTTTTTAGAAGAAAAAAAATTCAACAAAAAATAAGAAAAAAAAAAAAAAAAAAAAGGATTTCTTTTCTACATCACTTTCTTTCACTCTTACTTTTCACTATTATTTTTTGTCCAACCAAATGAGCCTAAAATTAATTTGGAGTTGATTTTGTGAGATATATATTTTGGGAAGATTGTAAATAATATATATTCTGTTATTGGCAACTTTCGGTGTCAAAACAAGTCCTCAGTTGTAAATTCAAGTTACTATATCTGGATCAACAGCCACTGCAGAAATGAAAGGTTGTTCAAAGTTACCATAACTGAGATTTTTTTTTGAAGAAGGTAAGAACAAAGCATTAGGAAGATTCTAAAAAAGATTGGACACATTCTACACTTTCCATTTTGTTCAGAACAAGATTTTACATTCTGTCCATCTTGAACTGGTTCAAGAATAATCGAACAGGATCAACTTGAACTGGTTCAAGATTTATCGAACAGGTTCAACTTCACCAGAGTGGTGATTTTAGAGTCTGTCCATCTTAAACCGGTTCAAGATTTATCGAACAGGTTCAAGAAATCCTGGTACTATTCTAACTTCAGTTTCCTTCTTTTGAATGTTTCCTTTTTAATCCCAACTTCCTTCCAAATCCTATGCACGAATTTTATCATATTTTCTGAAAGATTAGGACTTTCTAAACTCTATATAAACCTTGTCATACACATTGGGTTAGACACGGCTTTTGCATACAAAATTTCAAATCTTTGAGCAAGCCTTTTGAGAGATATTTTTTATTCATTCAGAAAATCAATCTGATTTTTTTGATTTTATTTTTGAGAGCACACACATAAACACAAGAGTGATTTAGGAGTGTTGTTCTCTATCTCATCGGAATTGAAGCATAATTGAAGATTCAGAAATTCCGGAAAAGCAGAATTCATTCGTTTTTCATCAAATTCAGATCTAGAAGAAAAGGGGTAAAGCGATCACACTTTGAAGGGGTCAGAGCATTCGTGGAGTGTTGTCTGATCTACCTGCAACTCTTCTACAAAGATCGAGAGTTAGCCTGAGGTCGAGAGCTGTTGGACGGGGGAGTCGCAAAGCAAAGGATTGTCAGCAATTGGTTTTTGGTAGAACGATAGGGTGTGAGACTGAGTCAAAGTTCAGTATACTTTGCTTCAAACATAGTGGATCGTTTATCTCAGGACTGCGAAGTCCAACGAGGTTTTTCCTGTTACAATTGGTCTATTCTACCAATTGGGGTTTCCTCGATAAAATTCTGGTGTTATCTCTCGAACTCTATTTACTTTACTTGCACTTTATTTTTGCTTTGTGGTTTGATTTTAGTTTTAATTCGATAAAATTAAAATAAGTAAAAATTCGATAAAAGAGCAAGTTGAATCTATTTACTATCTCTCTAGGTTATCTATCCATATAATATATTCCACAACCACTCCGCTACGCATACTCAACAGATTTGATTAGATAATGGAACATATTTTACTAAATCAATATTTAAGGTAAAATTAAGTAGAGAACAATTATATGGATATGTATATAGTGCCGACTATGAATGAGAATGCTTATAGGTCTGAAACGTATACTATTTGTATAACATATGTAATGACAAGCACCTCGTGCATAGAAATATTGATACGATGACAGTAAGCAAATTTGATAATTAATCACATAGCTCATCAGTGAAACATTAATAAACTTTCTTGAGGCCTCCATGGTGGGGGAAGAGCGAGAGAAGCCATGAGAGAAAGTAAATCAAGTAAAAATGTAAATCAATGAATTACAGTTGTCACACTGTTTTTAGTAGAGCTTAGTTTGTTATGCAAATAGAACTATCTGTAATAAGATACTTTTAATCAAACATAATCTGAACACAAGCCAAGCCGATTAAAAGGAAAGTTCAATTCGTAGAACTGAACCGATTGAATCAATATTTCACGGAGCCAATTATTCCTACATATCAGATTGGTTTCAGATTTCATCAATCCATTGAGATATGATTGGATTACATTTGAAGACGCCTAATTCAATTGGTTACCATTGTGCAATTTTGGTTAAGTAAACCTTGAAAATAACGTATTTTTATTTATTATCTTAAAATTGTGTCTGTAGAGGGTATAATTTAGACGGCCTAATTCAAACTCGAATCCTAATCCCAAAGCTTTAGGAATTCCCAATCCCCAAACATTTGGGAAATGTTTAGGAAAGAAAGGAAAAAAAAAAATTATTCTTGATGCATCTCTACTGCTGACTTTGCCACTTCTGAGGCCTCCCAAATCATCTTTCAATATTCAAATTCATCAAAATTCTTTCAGATTTTTGCAAGAAATATATTTTCAAGACAATGCATTCACCATCTGAGACAGATTTCGAGTAAAATTGAAATGAACACTTCTAGCCACTAACAAAACACAATTTCATTCATCTAGCTTCTGACAAGTGCAAACCATGCAGTGTATTAATTAACTGGGTAAAGCAAATCCAAATTACAAGCATAGTGCTATAAATTTGATAGGCCGATATTTTCTGGGGTGAAACCATCAAGAAGTACCACCAAAGGCTGTAGTCTTGCGTTACTTTCTCACCTTCCAAAGTAAAAGGTCCAAAGTTTCAAGTCCCGTAGGAGCAAATGGATGCATGTTCTATTTTCCAGATATAGAAACAGAAATATATCAACAATCACTCAAAAAAAAATATGATTGTGTTTCACAAAGTTTGAGTCCAGCCAGACTTGAGAAGGTTCTTTCTTCTTGGTAGCTCATTCAGTCACCCTTTAGTTCTTCTCCAAGTACTTCCATTGAATCCGAAACTTCAGCCTTATATTGATAGAGCTTAGTCATTACTAAGAAGAATATGAAATTCAAGAAGCTTAGTATGGCGAGGAAAGCGAAATAATAATCAAGACGAGAAGCATTAAGGTTATTCAGAATCCATCCTTTGTGACCGTGCGCCTTGGTAATATCAGAAATTATCGAAAGAATAAATGTGCTAAGGAAATTCCCAACTCCATTACTAGTCATAGCATAAGAAGTCCCAAGACTCTTCATGTTTTCCGGTGCTTGATCATAGAAGAACTCAATCTTGGCTACCTCAAAACACGCGTCAGCTACTCCCATAAGCACAAATTGAGGAAGCAAAATGAATATGGTCAATGGCACTTGTCCCACCTTTTCGACTAGGCCATGGTCCTTGGCCACACCAAGTCTGTACCTCTCGGTTAGGGATGCTATTATCATAATGATGGTATGGAGCACAAGACCAATTCCCATTCTTTGAAGCAGAGTGATGCCTCTTGGATTCTTTGTCCATTTTCTTATGATCTTGACAAAGACACGGTCATATAAAATGATGCTAACAAGCATGGACACTGTCACAAAAGCGCCTAAGCTAGCCGGGGGAAGTTTGAAGTTACCCATTCTTTTATCAAGAGTGGTGCCTTGCTTGATGAAAAGGGTATTGCTTTGAGCAACCATTACTGAAGGAAGGAATGTGGTGATCAAGATGGATATCATTCGCAGCATTTGTTTGGTTTCTTCGACTTGAGTCACTGTGCAGAGCATCCATGGACTGGTTGAATCAGTTTCAACACAAGCTTTGTTGAGGAACCTGCATTAGCACAGGAAATCAACATGCATTAGAAAGGTAAATCCTAATTGTAAAGCCTAGACTTGGTTAAGCTTGAAGTTTGGTCCAAGCTAGCGTGTACTTTCATCTATAGACTATGTTTGCGTATTAATGAACTAGTGCATAAGGTAGGGTGAAGATCATAGCACAGGCAGTGGGGTCCACTCTAAACTGTTCACTACATAAGGGAATATTCAAATTCGTATATACATATATGTAATTGGGAAGACCTAGGATCAACATAATTTGCAACAGTGGTATAACCAAATGATATATTGTGAAGGTAAGACTGCATACATCAATTGGTCCTCAAACTCTGAAATGACGGGAGTCTCGTGCTCTGGGTTAAGCCGTTATAAAAGAATGGTACAAAGGATGAATACAAACCTGAGGGTGGGTGTGGAATCAATTCTAAACTTCCCTTTGCTGGTGTATTCATCCGAGTCAAATTCATAGAGTTCTTTAGGGTCTTTAGGAATGGGTACCCTCCACTTCCTTAGGGCAGCCACTATAACCCTAGCCATCCTTGTGAAGGGACTCCCTGTGGGGACCTTGTGCCTGTAGAAAGGTGTGCCAATTATGAAGACTAATATGGCAAAAGCAAGGCCTACAGTTGGGATCCCATAGCCAAGGGCCCATCCCACATTGTCTTGTATGTACACAAGAAATGTGTTCCCAAAGAGTATCCCCATGAAGATACTAAACATCCACCAATTGAAGAAGGAAAGCTTTTGGGCCTTCTCTTTGGGCTCGAAATCATCGAATTGGTCCGCCCCGATCGTGGAGATGTTGGGCTTCGTCCCGCCTGTCCCAACGCCCAAAATGTAGAGTGCAGTATAAAACACACCTAGTTCTAGTGTTGAGGCCTTCTTACAGTCGGCTGGGTTGACGTCGGCGGCACAGGGAGGTGGTTTTAGCCCAGGGACTGAAACTGCTAGTGTTAGTAGGCACATTCCCTGCAATCAGAGAGTAATTCAAAGAAACAGAAATAATCAGTAACAAAATTTTATTAAGTTATAACTGAGGGTCTCGGGGGTACCAACTAGGTTTAAAGGTCAATTTGGACTTTTGAGACCATTTATATAATTATATATAATCAACATATATATTGATAAGTATTAGAATTTGACATAACAAGTGGACATGTCCACATACGTAGTGATAGACCGATGGAATGTCAAAAAGAGTGACATGGGCCCCACCATTAATCCTTTCAAATATTCCAATTATGTCCAAACCAATTGAAACATTGTTTTTAGTTATAATTTTGAACTTTTTGGTGTTTTTTTTTTTCTTTTGTTTTCCTTTTTTTTTTTTTTTTGGTGATATGATGGATTAAATTTGCTTTATTGGTTCTAATGGTGGCAATTGCTGATTCTGTTGTTGTGCCAGCCATTTTTGTTATTGCTTTTATAATTTATTGGTGGGGTACACACCCCACACTTTTTTTTTTTTTTAGACATTTCGCCATCAAATCTTTATTTATGTACTTGTATATATTATACGATGATTTGGTTGATTCAATAATTTAGTGAATTAGTGTTTCACTTGAATTTTGGAGTGCAAGATTTTAACTATTTGTATTTATTAATCTAATATTCATTTTTAGCTTACAAATATATATATATAATATGATATCGTTTACTTTTTTTTAATATGGAATTTACAAAATTTAATAATTATATGATTTCTTTTAGGGGACCAAAAAATATATATATATATACGAGATTTGGAGGCCATAGGCTGAAAGAACAATGAGATTTTATTTGGAAGGAATATTAGGAACAATGCCCTCCATTTTTCACATCCCATGAAATAGCATCTTCTAATATTTTACACCCAATTGACTAATGCAAAAAGCAAGAACAATGCTTTGAAATTAATAGTATGCAGATCATTGAATTTGACTTTGAAAAAGAAAAGCAATCCCTTATTAAAATCAAAAGCAGTTTCACTAATCAGGTTTACCACGTTTATCAACTGGCAAATAGTTTTCTAGTTGAAGTGTGTGCGTGAGAGGGAGGTATTAATAGCGCTGCCCAAATATATCGTGCCCTAAGTTATATAATTATTTTAAATGAGTGCTGCTATTATGTTTTGTGTATATTTTAATTTTAGATTTCGTTCGTGTGATTTAAATTTTACTATTTTTACACTCCCGTTTTTACTTTCGCTCCCACTCCTGCACCCTCTCTGAAGTGACTTAAACTATGACACTCTACTTATTATTCTTCTTAAATGAAATAACAAAAAAGTCCTTATATCTCTTTCTTAAAATAGACTTAGAAATCTTTGAGCCTTCCTTTTGTCCGATCTCTCTCTAACAAAATTAATTAACTCCTGTCTTCAACGTCCTCGTCTTATTCAACTAAAAAAAACACCCTCCTTCTCTTCCTATTCTTGTTTTTCTTTATCCCATCATATCTATTTTAAACCCTTTCTTGTTTTACTTTCTTGTTCTCTTTTATATATATATATAAACTTCTTTTTCTACCCAAAAAAAAAAAACAAATCGAACCATGCTATGAAGTTTGAAAGAGAGGTGTAGGGTTGGCCAAGGAGAAAAGAGGGAAAAAACATAAGAGGGAGAAAATGAGAAGATAACTACAGGGGCTGTTTTGTCATTTTATTGGAAATAAGGATGGAGTGGTAGAGGACTTTTGTGAAGTCCCTATATATGTGTCATTTTCGTAGACAAAGATGTCTTCCTACATGCCTGAAAGTGCACCCAATGTTAATGTCAAAGCATTCGTGATATATTGATATGTATCTCTATATATATAGACACACAAGTCGCTTAAAATGAAAGGGATGTGAGACCAAGTTAAATATAGACCACCCAACTCAAATGATGATGAGATGATAACAGAATGATTTCGTCACTGTGTGTTTTCAAAGAAAACAAATTAAAAAGAAAATGTATGTGGTGACTTGTGACAAACCGAAACACTAGCTATGCTCAAAGTAATTGTAGGAATGAATAGCTTGTTATACATTATTTCAACAATAAGTAAGAGGTTGAAGACTAACATACTTAAAATACCATTAAGACTTTTAAGGGTATATTATGGATATTTTGGAATTTTTATATTAATAAGAAACTGTCAAGAAGGACTATCAACATGTATTAGGAACAGGACGAAGTCAGGATGTAAAGTAAAGAGGGACAAAAATGAATTTTGGGGGCAATAATAATGCTCTTTTTTTAGTAATTTTAGAGGGGACAAATATAATATTTCCTGGTATATTATTGAAAATGAGCAAAAAAAAAAAAAAATTCAATGTGGATCCGTCTCTTAGGGAGAAATTTTCTCATATTTTTAAATGTTAGAAAAATACATATTCATACACTAAATAGGAGGGTATACTTTAGACATTTTTTTATATAATAGAGGGGTTTTACACTTTACCCTAACTAATATTATTTCTTTACAAGGAAATCATATATACACTAATTCTATATAGTCATGTTGAGAATGTAAATCTTCAACTTTTTTTTTTTTTTTTTGAAATGATAGAGATATACCAATTAAGTCCTTGATAAAAATATAAAAGTAAAAATAAATAGATAAAAATTGAAATATAAAGTTAGAACAATATCATGTGAACGACTGCAATACAACACTTATTAGTAATATATCTAATAGAAGTTGTGGTAGCATTTAATGATATCGGTATAGTCATGACGTCAGTTATCATCATAACTTCATAATTTTATTCATATAAAACAATCGGATCGACCCTAATCGTTTGACCCTAATCGTTCTTTATCTAAAACATAAGTAGTTATATTTTTTTTTCTTTTTTTATTTATTTATAATAAACTGCACCTAAAATGGTGTTAATATATGTTCTTAATTAAGTACGAGGGGCATTTAGGTTATCTAGTTTTAAAAAATGAGTATATTTATAATAATAGTTGATGTAATAATATAATAGATGAACTAAAATTTAATTATTCAAAATAAATCTCAGGAATATTTTGTTTTATATTCTGCACAAAAGTAATGCTCTGAGCAATAGCGACCCAAGCAATTAATTGTGCCCAGCTATGCAGACCTGCGCCATTCAATCATCTTTTCTCCTAGGTGCAACTTTTTACTTTTCACTTTTCTGTCAAAAAAAAAAAAAAAAAAAAAAAAAAAAAAAAAAAAAAACACCTTTTTACTTTTTATAGAACTTAACATTATGTTATTATGGTGGGCCTCAATCTACCCTTCTATTGAAATGATGTTATTTAGTGTTATTTTTTTATTTATTAAAAACGAAGGGTTTTTTTTTTGTTTTTGGACTTAAAAATGACGTCACGTGGGTGTATTATTTGTTACTATTATTATTATTTATTAAATATGTAATATATAAAAATTATTTAAATTTTGAAAGTAATTAAGACAACTCGGAATGATATATGTGTTGATATAATATAATGATATAGTGTATGAGACATACCGAGAGATAAATTGCGGATGCAATCATGAACGTCCAATAACGACCGAGATGGGCATCGGCAACATATGCGCCCAAGATTGGAGTTAACCAGATGGTGCCTATCCAATTGGTGACATTGTTTGCGGCAGTGACCGTGCCTTGATGGAGCTTCTTTGTCAAATAAAGGATTAGATTTGCCGATATGCCACAGTAACACATGCGCTCGAACACTTCATACACTACATAAAAACAAACAAATTAAAAAATAAAAAAAAAAAAGTTAAAAAGTGATTGCTTGAATCATAATAAACTGCATGGTAAGAACATATATAAGCTTATAGATATTTCAATTTTGTATAAAGTTAATGTGATGTTGTGGTCCGAATTCTGCTTGGGTTCGGATGGGGTCGCAATTGTGGACTTGGTAACTTAAAAAGGTGTTAGATTTTAATTATTATGTGGATGTGAGAGAACACCGAAAGAGAATCAGAGAGGAATAACAAAGGGTTAGGGAATTAGATGCTGTATTCTACTTTTTACTGTGGTGAAATATCTTCACGTAGATCTTTTTGTATTGTGTAATGCATAATATTGTTTTTATCATTTTTTGATTGAGTTATTGGTTTAGGGATGTTTGCCATTTACTAATGGAGATACCTTTGAAATATAAACTTTGATTGTAAGAAATTTATGGTAAAAGTTTATATAATTAAAACTACAGGTTAAAGTCTTGGAGAAAATAATTTTTAAGAATTAATAATATTGTCAATATTAATTACATCTATATATAATTATATATATATATATATATACACACACACACTCTATTTGTTCCTCACAATGAGGAATGGAGTGGGTGATGCATGTGTTGTCATGTTATTAGAGAGTTTCAGGGCCTTTCGAAAACGACAAAATTACTCCACAATTTTCAAATAACTCAAAATTAAGGAGTGTCTTTCAAAGTTAGGTATTTGTTCAATGACAAGTGAGCTAGTAGACATCATCACTTAAAAATTGATTTGTATTTGTTTAAGCCAGATTGACTATGATATATTTACAAAAAAAAAAAAAAAAAAGAAAAAAAAGAAACGAAAAGGATTGACTATAATATGGTCTTTTTCATACTAAAAATCATTGTCATAATTAAATTATTTAAGGATAATCAGAGAACTCAATAGATGGAGCAAAATTCAAAGAATTGTATATTAATCGAACAAAAGTCCCATGCATGCCTCATGAAGTCCAATAATGCAACTCGGATGTATAATTATTTATTCTAAATGTAAACAAAACAACATTCAGTCTAATATATTTATTCTATATCATTATCATTTTGATATATGACCTCTAATTGTATACGATATCTAGATTCTTTAAATTTTATGTCTTACCTTTTTTATAATTAATATTTTTCTTTTTTTGGTCACTCAAATAAGAGAGAGAAAAAAACAAAGAAGCCATTTCCTTTTCTTGTTTATTTAGTCAGATTTATGAATAGTAATTTGAAAGCTAGTGATTTAGTAGTTTAGTGGGTAGTTAGATTTAATCACTGAAGATGCGAAATTATAAAATATTACTAGTATAACTTTGTCTTAAGTTGCTTAGCTCATAAGCGAATAATAATTTGAGGTCTTTGCGTAGAGACACCAAAAGAAAATTTTGTTTATGTCAAATATACCTATTCTCTTGCTTTTGAGAATAATAAATTACAATTTTCTAAAAGTAAATATTTTTTAATTAAAATTTCAAAAAAAAACTTTTCAACACAATCAATTAAATATATTTTTGTAGAGTATTTAAATTTTCAACTTTTAAAAAATCAATCAATTTAGAACTTATATATTGACTTGAAAACTCTCGTAACTGTCTGCCTTTTATACCTTTTATACTTATAGTTATCATACTTATACTTATCAGGTAAACTCCGGCCACTCACCTCCGACTCCTCAATGTAAGTAGCATTTTAAATCAAGAACTTAAAGAATTTAAGGAAAATCAAATCGAAGTACTAAATACGAGGGACTAACACTTAAAAAGCCCTCCCCGTCACCAACTCTGCTACGCGGCAATGTTAGCATTAACTTACTCACATACTATATCACAAATTAATATTCCACTGCATCACTCTAAGTACTGCTCTATACCATTTTAACGAACTTTAGTTATTTGAGGTCCATTGATAAGAGGGCCATGAGTATTTCGAGGTTCTTTGCATAAATCCCATGTTAGGTAGTGACAGTAAAATACTTAGTATTAAAACTACCTATATATATATATATATATGTAATTATGTATCTATCTGTTTGTGTGTATATATTTGAACCATTTTTCAAACAAGCAAAGCTTCACAGCAGACATGAAAAGGAAGACAACTGTCTTCCGAGTTTGATGGAGGCATTATAGTGTACAACTGCCCCAAAAGGTGAGGCATAGTGACCATCATTATAGGACTCATGCGGGTCCTAAAAGATAAGAGAGAAAATGATAATCTAGAGAGAGAGAGAGAGAGAGAGAGAGAGACTCACCAACAATAAAGGAACAAGCTTTCCATCCACCTCTCTTGGATCTAAGGGCTGGGTTCCCTTTAAGATCCACAGTCCCATCCTTTGTGTACTCATGATCAAGACCCTCTTCCACACCCATGGCTCACTTTCTCACCACCAAGCTTTTTCAGATCTTCTTCTCGGTAAAATGTTTCTCACTCGCAATGAAGTTGGTTTGAGGGCTCACTCATTTATAGGGCTGAGATCCGTCTTTCTCACTGTTTAATCTAGTAGAATTACCAAAATGCCAAGAAAAAATAAAATTACCAAAATGCCATGCAATCATCTCTACGGCAATGATTGAATAATTTGAATTGAATGATGAATATTGAATGCCATGTGGTACAGATATGAAGTATAAAAAATAAAAAAATGTCACTTTTGGCAAATGACGAGAATAGGCCGACAAATTGTGTATTAACAGACAATGATTTTTGTGTTAGAGGTTTTGTAATCCGGATTATGTTGGAGGGATCAAAGGATTCTTAATTTGGATAAATTCTCCGAACATATTATTTATACACAAGAATACGCGATCATATCTGTCAACACCTCTAATAAATCAAGACAAATTATTGTATGATACCTCCCAACTAGCTTGAACAGTCATTAAAAAACCCATTAGGAACAAATATATCATCCTGGAGGTCTTTTGTTTTCTTCTTTTTAATTTATTTTATTTTATTTTGGTAATTTGTCCTAACTCATAACTTCAAAAGATTCATGTTATCATTTATAATTTATAAATAAAAAGAAAAGAATAACTACGAAAGAAACAAGTTACCTTGAATCCACGAGGTAAGCATTTTAAATTCACAAGGCAAAGAATAATTTCAAAACCTGATATTTTAATTGATAATTGAATGAATGATATGCTATGCAAACATAAGGAAATTAGCCGCGTAAGGAAACTGCTCAAAAACAAACTTGCTCTAAATATTCTGTAAAAATAAGAAAAGAAACTTAATTACTAAAAACTACTAAATATCAAAAAAGAAAACAAATAGAATCCGTTTAGTATTCTAACGAAAATTCCAAAATATTCAAAAATGAGAAAACGTCATTTCCGAGCCCTAAATGATTGAATTCGGCCAAAAGGCACCCCTTCGCTGCCGATATTTGCGAGTTGGGTCATTTCTGATAAAACTGGGCTCTTTCCGGGTTAAAAAATGCACACTTCAGGATCAGCCCAAAAAATCTGTCAATATACCCGTTTGCCCCCTGGCGGTCCAAACGGGTCATAAAAGCTTCAGCAATCAGTTTTACATACAATTCTAAATAAAAATGAAACTACTTAAATATTCATTAAAGGCTTCAGCAATTGATCAGTTCTACATCAAAATAGTTAGGTTTCACACTAAGAGGCAAAATAATTTGAATAAACCTAGAAATTTTTATGCTATAAGAAATTTAGATAAGAAAAACAAAAAAAAAAATCATCCTTAAAAATTTCTTCAAAATAATTTGCATGTTAAAACTATTTAATTAGACGAAGAAAGAAAATTAATTTGCAGAAATATGTGCCTATTAATGCTATGTGACTTATTCCCAATAAGTATGTGGATGGAAACCCTAACCCTTGAGATCATTTGGGTTTCTATGCTCATGGACTGAGCTTAGATTCTTTATCTAATTTCCATATCTTATAGTTTACAATTAGGCTGTTTATTTTAGGTTTTTATGAGAATGCCAAAATCATATTTTTTCTTTGATGTGGTATGAGTGATATGTATTTCTCTTATTACTATGTTTTGTGATGTAAATCAGGACACATAAAGTTTATATTTTTTTTGTGCACTAGTCTAACTTAGAGATAATTGATTAGAAATCAATGTAAAGTTGACTAAATTACATTGTATGGGTAGCTAAAGGAGTTTTTACATAACTTAAAAGATTATCGTGTTTATTTATTTAGTAGAAAATAAAAGAAAAAGAAAAAGAAAAGAAACACATGCATATATATATATATATATATATATATATATATAATATGCTGTTGAACTCTTTACTAAGAAAAAGACTACCTAACAGTGAGACAGGTCGCACATTATTGGACCGGTCACACTTTAACAGTCATAGTCTCAGTTTTTTATTTTCAAAATTATCTAAGTGGGATCGGTCGCACATAGATCTACTAATCGCACTCTCAGGATTTAATGAATTTAAGTGAACTCACGTGCGCTCATTTAGCCTCTTTTAAACATATAAATCCCACGTCTTGGACATCTTTGAGCCATGATCACTTCTCCAAGCCTCCTCTGTCAATTTTTGTTGAAACTCTCGAGTTAATTGTTGATGGTAGTTCGTGAATAGGATGAGGAGATCGTTCCACGTAAGCCAAGAGATCTGAGATCAGTATCCAAGTGGAGATCCAAGCAACACGAGGGATTCTCTAGGTATGGAGATTAAGAAAGGGAAGGCCGACCTCGGTACCATGCAACCTCGAGCTTGTCAGAGGATAAGAGTTAATGTGGTGGTTGTATCTGTTTAAGGCTGATTAACACCCCTATTTATAGTGTTTTCCTCCTCGGTCAATGTCTTTTGGTCCTTTAGCTGAGCCCGCTCTTATCCACAGGTTTAATGGTCTCTTCCTCTGACGGATGAGACATTGATGGATGGGCCGTGGCGCTTTGCCCCCCGGACAAAGGAGGTAACGGCGCACCCTAATTAATGCGGGTCTTATCAAATGTCATTCGCAATTAATGCATTGCTTATCCTTTATCGCTCGAGCTTAGATACCGGGTATCCTTTCCCCCTCATGCTGGCCTCGGACTGAGGCAACCCCTTAGATCTCAGCCACCTATCCACATGTCCTCAGATTCCCGTGCTTCAGTGGGGATAGGCCCCTTTTGAGGTCCTGCCTTCATGACCTCGCAGGTTCCCATCCCAGTTCTATCCCGAGGTCTTCTTTGCCAAGAAGGGAGACGTGTACACAGGTTAGTCAAGGCTGCTCTTTCAGAGAACACCCTCGAGCGAGCCAGGGGGGGAGGAGCCCATCCGACTAGAGCAGGGCGCGTCCACAGTAGAGGAAGGGTAGCGACCCCTCCCTCGACCAGTGAGTTCCGTTATTGGATAGGTAGCTCGAGAATACCTAATCCTCCGTGGGCACGCCAGGTCAGCACTGGCCAGTTGTGCCTATGTTGCAGAGGTGGCGCCACCTAATCAGCTACCGTGGCGCGGTCATCAACATTTTGCCCCCTGCTCGAGGTCGCCAAAAGGGAGCTCGAGCAAATTATTAACTTGGTTCAGGTCTGCCGTCATTACTACTGGTACTAAAGAGTCGCATCTTTTCAGTCTCGAGGAGTCACATTACCTTGAAGAGTCATGTCTCTTTGGCTTCATAGGCCACGTGTCACTTTTTTACCGGTGCGCCGAGCTGCGACACCTCGAATGCCAAGCCTCTGTCTTTTCGTTTGTCAGAGGCGCGACGCTTGGGGTGTCGACCCCTACTATTTAAGCCCACACTTGTTTTTTTCTTGTGAGATCGTGCAAATTAAATTTGACTTCTTAGAAATCTCACCCTCCCCCATTTTCACTTGAGGTAGGATAACAGTGATGGCCTTGCGCGACGATGTCCCTAACATCCCTCCCTTGGCTGAATGGCGAGTTGCTCCCTATTTTGGCCCGAACGATACCTTTTGGGTGAACAACGATGAGCTTAGCGAGGTGGATGAGACCCCAGCGGGCACATTCTTATTTGAGGGCGAGCCTTATGCACAGGCAGGAATACCCATCCTTCCTAGTTCGATACTGCGATTCAGAGTCGAACGTGGTGACTTTCCCCATTCTAGTCTCGCTTTTACCGGTCAGACCGGTCACGGCCGAGGCTGGGATCTGTGGACGGATGCCACATTATCTGATGCCGAGTTTCTTGAGACTCTGAAGGCTTCAAGGATTGCAGACGCGATCCAGAACACCCGCGAGCTAACCATCCCCCGAGACGTGCATGATCTCGCTCTTCTCATATCTCGGTGGAGTCGCGATACCCACACTTTTGTTACCTCATGGGGCGAGTTTACCCCCACGATAGAGGATGTAGTGCAGCTTATGTGTTTGAATGTGTTTGGCGAGCACAACCCTGGCTCCTGGGTGCTTTCTGAAGACGAGGTCAAACTTGTTGCCAAGCTTCGCAGTAATGTCACCGCGGCCGAGAAGATCGCTTCGCGCTATCAGGATGACGGACTTCGCGAGGAGTTTCCAGAGACTGGAAAGAAATGCACTTTCGTGTCGCTCTTCCGTTACTATTTTCGGGACTTTCCTCCTCAGGACCAAGAAGGAGAGGCCTCCTTTAATAGTCCTAAATGCAAAGACTCAGCTCGCCTCGCCGCATTTCTTCTATATTGGCTATCGAGGTTCATTTTTCCAAGTCTTCCTGATGATGGACCATGTCCAGATCTTATTCCTTTGGCTGTTAGGTTATCCTGAGGCAACAGCTTTCCTTTAGCCGCATTATTTCTTGGTACGCTCTATCATGAGCTCGACTTGGCGTATGCCTGGATGGAACGCTCCGTTGGGCATATGAGCGTGGTTTCTCCTGTCAATACAATATTCCTTCAAATGTTCTTATATGAGCATTTTCCCCGTTATGGCCCTCGCCCGACAGCGCTTCCTCGGGACAAAGGTTTGAAGCGATCTTTTCAATGGCACAAACATTCCACAAAAAAGAAATTGGCAGAGTATATTGACAGGGAGAGTTGCTTTCTAGCTCGTCCCTATACTCAAGGGCCGCGGGTGGAGTGCTGTGCCTCAAAGGATGGCATGGTTATCTCAGGCAAGTCTCTGAGACGTACCCCAGCCTTGACAATGATCGCTCTGTACATTACGGGTTACCTTCCTGCCCTCCTTCCTCCTAACTCGGGTGTGGGTAAAGTTTACAATCCCCATAGGGTGGCTCGACAGTTTGGATTGGATCAAGGACTTGCTCGAGACTATGGATATGGTGCGCGCCAAGACCATAGTACCTATGCCTTGGGATTTCTACGCTTCATTGATTCTGAGGAGGCCGAGCTCTTGAGAGATCGCCAGATTCTTTATGTTCCCTCGACCTCACGAGTGGGACGATGGGGGGCGCAAACCAGAGCATACTGGAAGAAAGTGATCAATTCTTTTAAGCAATTTATGGTTAGCACTCCAGTTCTTGTCCCTGCTCGTTCTTTATTGAAAAGTGACGCCTTATTTCGTCCCT